GAGGTCCCCCCATATTTACAAAGCAGAAACTACAGATGTTAGGAGAGACACATAAACATAACTGCTAGTAGCCAACTTTTGGGGCAAAGCAGATCAAATGACAGAAATATAAAGATACAGAAAAACGGAACAACATAATAGGTAAAATAGATTTTATTGATCTACACTGGCTGGACCCTAGAACCTACAAAATGCACTTTTACTGCTCATGGAGGGTTAAAAAGAATTTCATCAAATATTCGATCACAAAGATCGGTAAATTCTGTGCCCTAGGAGAATTACACACAGTTCCCTTTTGTCATGGTACAATAAAGCTAGAATTAAAAACAACAGACCTGGGCTGGGTTTGGTAATCCCAGAATGAGGATTGCAAGTCTGAGTCCTGCCTGGGCAATTTAGCGAGACCCCTGTATCGAGATGGGGGTCATGTAGGTGGCAATGTATCTCAGTGGTAGAGCGTCCCTTGGATTTGATACCCCCAGTCCTGTGGGAACAAGGACCAGAAAGAAAGAGGAAAGAATTATTTAAGGTTAAAGGAGAAGAGATATAACAGCTAACTACTTTGTGTGGTATTAGATCAATTTCTGGACAGAAAACATTATTGGAACAATCAATAAAACCTGAATTTTAGATTAGAAAATAATGTATTCTAATTTTCAATTTTCCCCATGCTACTTCAGTTATATGAGGCTGTCCTTAATCTTAGGAAATAGCACTGAAGTATTTAGGGGTCCAGGGCCAGATAGTCTATAACTTACTCCATAGTGGACAAGACTATGAAGAGAATGAAAGAGCTGGATATATTTATGCGATCTTAGGGTCTTCAAGATTTTAGAATGTGTGTTCCACTTCTTGGCAGGCCAACCACCTGGTGGGCTGTGTTAAAATGTGGACTACTTCCATGTGCTCAAAGCTGAGATATGCTGCCTATGGGGTTAAGTAGCTGGGACACAATTCACAGGTAAAATGCACCAGCACGTAGCTCCGATTATACAGGTTTATTGTCATTTAATCTCCTGGAAGGGAAAAAAAGGCCTGAGTAACTTTTCTTTTTTTTTTTCCCCTTTCTTTGTTTTGTTTTTTGTCTTTTTGAAACATGGTTTCACTGTGCAGTTCCTGCTGGCCTTGAACTCATAGGGATCTTCCTGCCTCAGCCTCCCAAATGTTGAGACTCTAATAGGCATGTGCCACCAAGTCTGGTATAAGTTTTATTTCTGAAGTTACAATTTGTCTTAAAATTACAATTTTAAAATTAAGATTTTCCTGGTCTCCTTTCTGTTGCAGACCACTATGAAGCGGCTCTGAGCAGGATTTAAATTTGACTAGTTGGCTTTCTATGTTTATCTGTGAGTCTGTCCTAGGCCTAGGCCTCTTGCCTGGCAATGGGAGCTGATTCCTAGTAAGTGAACCTCTATGAATCACTGGTCCTGGCTGAGGTCTGTAGTGGCCTGTGAAGCCAGAGATACCTCAAAGGGCAAGACAAGGCCATAGCTGCGGACACTCTGGCTCCAACTCCAATTAACAAGGTAGAGACTGCAGCTGCAAAGATTACTCCTACAGTCTCACTTCTACCATGTCTTCATGATAAGACAGAGTTACTGAATTGACTTGATTCATGATTTGGAGACGTCCTTGAAGTGACTCCCAAGGTCCTGCTCACTGCCTGTGCTTTCCTCAGTTTCTCCACCTTTTGTTCCTTGGTCCTAATATAAGTGGACTGATCCAGAGAAGTTTTTGTCTTAACCCTCAGAGTGGCGAGCTTAAAGGGTTTTGACCCTCCTGGAGCCCTAAAAAATCATACAATTTGCCTCTTTTTATTTAACTTCTGCTGTATGCTCCTTTGGGAGATCGGGGATCTAGGTCAGGACCCGGTAGCTTTCTGCCTATCATTCCTTCTGTCTTGCTTCAATTCTACCTGTAGGTAACTGCCCTAGATGATTTTCAAAGGAATAACAATATGTCATTTACTGCCCCATTGTTGATAACTAGTGAAAAACTGGTAGCAACCTAACTCATCAATATATGACAGCAGATGGAGAAGCAATGTGTTATAATCATACAATGTATTTAAAAGACCTGTTAGCTACATATGTTAACATTTAGAAATATCAAAAACAATAGGCTGATGAAAACAAAGTAGGTAACAGGAGATTGGATACAGTCTCTGCCCTGGGTTCAATCTTCAGCACAAAGAAACAAACAGGAAGGGTAAACTTGATGTGTAAAAGTGAGAACTTTGAAGAACACAGAAAACAGTAATGAATATTGTTAGAGCATAAAAGAAGGAGATACAATCTCTGTCTTGGAGAAATTTGCAGGTCTTTAAAGAAAAATCAAGTGAATGAAATGTAACTGCAGGTAGAGTGGACACAATACAGGTAGAGGAAGGGCAGGAAAAGGGGAAGGTTTTCTTTCCCGGAAATGGCAAAAACCTTCCATGTGTCAGAACCAGGTGCTGTATGACAAGAAGAGTTTTACCCAGGTGATAGATAATAAGGATGATGTCACCTGGAAGCCCAGGGGTCCTGATGCGTGGTGAGGAACTGGCCCCTGACTTTGTGGAAACTTAAGTTTTTTGTGCTTTTTGGTAGGGGGAGGTCAGAGTGTTGATATGTAGCCCAGGCTGGCCTTGAACTCCCAGTTGTTAGATCCCAGGGTTGGGTTCCCCACCCAAACAGGCTAGAAAAACTTTTCCATGGGTCACACCTTGCCTGCAGGAAACCCCTTAACACCCTGAGTTCCTGGTACAAGGAGCCCACAGAAGACTGTACTCTTTGCTCGGTGCCCAGAACCACCAACGACATCCTGTACCCACCCCGATAATCCTCTCTCCTGGAAAGCCCCCAAAGTTTTATCTCTCTCAGCAAGATCCCCTTCTCAACAAAAACCTCCTCTTCCCCATCTTGATCCCCCCTATAAAATATACTCACTCCTTCGTTTAGGGCCAATGGTCTTTTTGCCCTTGGTCCTACTGCACCTGGTCTGCAATAAAGTTATCGCTGTTTGTGTCAACCTTGCCTGCCTCATTGGTCTCAGTTGTGCACCGGTTTTAGCCTCCCAAGTGCTGGGATTACAGGTATGTGCCACCATGCCTGGCATTCTGCCCTTTTTAGGTGGTCATTGTTTCCTCATGGGCTTTAATCACATCACAAACTCACTGGGAAGAAATTTTCCAGTTCTTAATTTAAACCAGATCTCACTCCAAAGCAGGAGGCTCTTAAAAGAACATTTCGTTTCCTGATACTGAACGGTAGGCCTCAGCACTGTGTGATATTGTTAGTGCCTTGTTCTGAAACTAGAGGGCCAGGTATCAGAAGCAATGCACAGCGTGTGAACTTAAAATGTCACTGTGCTGTGTAGGCTCACTTTAGGTCGAGACCTAATAAATGATGTATTATTCATTGAAATCTTTTGTTCCTTTACATAAGCATGCTATTTTGGACCCTTCCTCCTTGTGCCTCAGGCCCCTTAATGTCTAACTTCTAGAAGATAGCATCATCTGCAAAAATAGAGCCTGATTTGGACCCTGCCCCTAAGGTTTCTCAATGGGAAGAGGAAGGATCAGCAATAGGCAGTGGTTCATGCTGGTACCGGTAGGTGTCCACTTGACAAGGACTCCTCAGACCACCCTAAGGTGGTTGATTGCAGGAAGGCAGCTGGGAGGGTTACCTTCTGGAAGCAGAAGACTGGTTGTTACGTTATAAATTACAAAAGGGATGCTTGTGTAATCTGGCTGGCCTCCTGGGTGCCGGGATTGCTGGTGTGTGCTGCCACAGCCTGCCATATTTTTCTTTTTCTAATGAATTAATTCATTGCTGGAGAAATAACCAGGGCCTTGATAATGAGCTACATCCAAGCCCTTTTTGTGTTTTTTATTTTGGTGGGGTTTTTTGTTTGTTTGTTTGTTTGTTTTTGTGAGACAGGATCTCACCATGTAGTTTAGACTGGCCTAGAACTCACTTTATGGCCCAGGCTCGAACTCACTGTGATCCTTTTGCCTCAGCCTCGTGAGTGCTGGGATGACAGGGGTGCACCACCACACTGGGCTCCTGTTTTTTATTTTGAGAGAGGGTTTCTCTTAAATCGCCCAGGCCAGGTTCGAACCCAGCCATCCTCAGCTTCCCAGAGTGTCAGGATTACATGGGTGCAACCTTTCCCCCACAACCACGCAAGAAATAATGGGGATTCAACAGAAATAGATTAAGGTGTGATTGGGACCCGCGGCAGTGTGTCCCTCCAACCAGTAGGACTCGGTGCAATTAGCTGTAGGTGTGGGGGGAACTGAGAAATTCCTGGCTTGAACATCTTGTGTTTTTGTGTTACCCGATTCTGCACCTGGCAACTGCTGATGAGACCTTACTAACCTTTAGTTCTAGAATGGAAATGTACAGCAAAGTGATCGGAAAGGAGTTTCACCTGGGCAATTTGTGGGTTTACATCAACTTCAAACGTTTTAACTATCAAGACCAAAGCAAAACAAAACTGCTCCATTAACTCGTGTTATAGCCCGACAGGTTTGAGGGCGTCATTAGTCTCTGTAGTTTGCTGTGCATTTGAACCAAATTTAATAACAAAGGCTGTGGCAAGAATTAGAGGAGCGGAACTATAGAAAAGGTTTTGAGCCCTCTGTGTAAAATGTATCTAGTCTCAAAGTAGCAGGAAGCAAGGAAGGAAGACTCCTCGGCTGTAGCTCTTTGTCCTGGCCCGGAAGGGAGGGGCCGCCCAGGGAGGCTCCGTGCCCCGCCCCCATCCCATCCAAGCCCCGCCTCCCTCCATGACGCAGCCCCCTCTCCCCGTCACTAGGTTACCCCCCGGGGGTTAGACAAGGCCGCCAAGACGCTGGCCGGCCTGTCGTTGTCCTGCCGGGTTCCTCGACCCATAACCAAGAGCTATGGCTCTGCCGCTGCTGCCGGGCTACAGCTTCAACCGTAATGTGAGTAGCCAGGGCATCTGAAGTCAGTCTACACCCAAGTTTGGGGTTCAGGAGGCCTTGGGGGCGTGGCCATCTCTCTGGATCCTCCCCTTCCTACCCCTTCTGAATTCTAGCCCAGCTGGAGACCTGTGGTTGATTCTTCTATAGGTTGGAAGCCACGGAGCCGGAACTTTACTGTCTCCCCCCCTCTCTGCAGCTGCGGCTGGCTCCTTTTCCTATAGTACATACCTAAGGGTCCTTGTAGGTGGCAGGACACTTAAAGGTAGTTGGTGATAGTTCATTGTGTGCTGTTGCAATGCTTTAAGCACTTCGCATGGTACTGGGTTGCTCCCAGCAGCCCTCTGAACTAGATACTACTTTAATTCTTATTTTATGGAAACTGAGGCACAGTGTCAATTGTGAGGTCTTTGTTTTCTTTTGGTATATATATATATATTTATTTATTTATTGGAGTCAGGGTCTCTTTACGTGGTTCAGGCTAGCTTTCAACTCGCTTACATAGTCCAGGCTGGCCTCAAACTCGGGGATCTTCTTGCCTCAACCTTCTGAGTGCTGGGATTACAGGTATGTGCCGCCATGTGCCTGTTCCTGGTGTTTTAGAGTCAAGGTCTGTTTTTCCCCCGCAACACAACCTGCCTGTACAGCCCAGTAACCTAATAGTTATTCTCTGTACTCTTATGTGAAATAGATATAATTTTGTTATTAATTTGAGAAATATGTTGCCATTAAGGGGGGGGGGGTTGGAGATAGGTAAGGGTTCCAGCAATCTATAAAGATTAGTCCTGTGAGGGCTGGGTACTTAGCTCAGCAGCATAATCGCCTGCCTGTCTAGTGCGAGATCATGAGTTCGATTCCTGGTACAAAAATATTAGCCCTGAATGGTAGAGAGGGATCCAATGGTAGAGGGCCAGATGAAAGCAGAAAACAAAACAAGAACCCTGGCTACTTAGGACAATAAGTGGCGCCTTATTCGAATGTTTATTTAGTCGTACTGGGCTTTTGTTTTTTGAGTTGCCAGTTTGCCCATGCTGCACTTGATTTGTAGTCTCCAACAGTAATCTTTCTGCTTCAGCCTCCCAGAGTGCTAGGATTACAGGTCTGTGCCACCATACCTCGATAATAGCACCTTACTTAAACAACAGCAGAACAATGATTTTGGATTTTGTTTTTCTTGGCTTTGCCAGTTGTATCTGCAGGAGCAGGTAAGTAATACATTGACGGGAGAGAGTTAGATGGAGCCACTCAGTGTATTTGTGTAAACTTCTTAGTTGTTTCAAAAGCAGATGGCAGATTACCTTTATGAATTTTGCACATCGTCTGTGTGTGTTGGTGGCCCTAAAGTACCAGTGTGTTCTGTAGCTTCTGACCCCACATATAGGTTGGTCAGTTCAGCTTTACAAGTGGGATTGTGCATATCTTGGCAACCACAGCCTTGGCTTTAGTAATACAGTCTCTCCTGGTAAGAAAGCCTTCTGAGAGCAAAGCATGGAAGAAGATTCTAGAAGTAAAGAAACATGTTGGGTAAAAGTAATTTTAATAAGAAATGAAAGTAGAGCCTACAGCGTTGGGTTCAGCAACACTTCTGAGCACCCATAACCACCGCCTGCAGTTGTACACTGTTCTCACATGCAGTGATTAAGGGTGGGAAGGAAAAGTGCTTGGAGGAGATGATGTTTAAATCCACAACAGTGCACTGACTGTACGCTTGCTTTTTTTAAACTGTTTTTTAAAATTGTGAAGAATAGCACATACCTCCAAAAATGTTCAATGACGTGATCACAAAATGAACATCATGAAATATAATGTTGCAGGGGATATAGTTTCATGATACCAGTACTGCACAAATCAAACAAATGAACAAACCACCCAGAATATTCAGGACTCCAGAAGTGCCCTCCCTTCTTCCTTAACTAAGGTTGCCTGATTTAGCACATAAAAATATGTGTCCTGAGTATTGCATGGGACTTATTATACTAAAGTATCATTTGTTTATCTGAAATTCTAATTTAATTGTGCATCTTGCATTTTATGTGCCAACTATGACCCTGTTTATTGCCCTTTCCCTGCTCCAGATGTAGCCACTATCCTGGCTTCTATCATTATAATTAAGTTGTGCTTGTTTTTGAAAATTTTGTCCATGGAAATGTATGGTGTTCTTTTGTGAGTGGTTATTATATATACATATATATGTGTGCTCCTTTTTTTTTGAGACAGGATCTTGCTATGTAGTTCAGGCTAGGCTTGAATCGCTCTAGCCCAAGCTGGTCTTGAATTGGTGCGATTCTCCTGTCTCAGGCTCCTGAGCACTGGGATTATAAATGTGTACTACTATCCCCAGTCGGGCACAGGTTCTTTTAGTTCAGTTATGTTTGTGAAATTCGTCCACATGGCTGACTATAGAGGTGTGTAGTGTACATTTTCATTGCTCTGGCAGTGGTCATGAACCTAAGGCATGCATGCTGCAGCCGGCTGTTGTTGAAAGCTCTAAAGCATTCACCATCACTGCTTTGTAGGATTCCATTGTGTGAATACAATATCATCCATAGCTGGCTTGTTTGGTGTTCTTACAAATAGTTTTGCCTTGACTTTTCTTGTTCATGTCTTTTGGTATGATTGGTAGATCCTAAGGTATTCATATGTTCTGCTTTAGTATACAAAGTGATTTTACTAATTTAAATTCCTACCAGCATTTTATTTATATAATTTAGTTATCATTTTACTATCTAAAATTTAATGTTAGTGTTTTAAATTGAGTATTTTGGTCAATGAGTACAGCGCAAGTCTTTTCCACTTTGACTGTGACTTCCATACTTACTAGTCTTCTGAGGATTCTGTTTTACATTGTGCCTACTTGTCACTTGTCTAATTTTCTACAGGTTTGCAGGCCTGTTGTTTTCTTTCTGGCTCTCTCTCTTTTTTTTTTTTGCCTTTTGAGACAGGGTCTTCCTGTGCAGTTCAGGCTGGTCTCTAACTTGCAGTGATCCTTCTGCCTCAGCCTTCTAAGTGCTGGGGTTACAAGTGTATACCACCATGCTTGGCTCAGGCCTATTTCTTATGATTTGTAGGAATGCTGTATATATTTTTGGGTATCTTTTGAGTTGTGGTTGGTCTTTAAATTCTCTTAATTTTTTATTGTTTAGTTGGGTTTGGTGGTGCATGCCTGTAATCTCAGCACTTAAAGGAGGCTGAGGCAGGAGTATCCTTGTGTGTTCAGGACCAGTCTGGGCTACAAAAGGAGTTCAAAGCCAGCCTCAACTGCATAGTAAGACTCTGCCTCAAAAAGCAAAAAAAATTTTTTTTCTTACTTTCTTTTTTATCGATACCAGGGATTGAACTCACGACTGCGTGCTTGTAAGGTAGGCGACGATTTTTTCTTTCTTAAGCAGTTTCAGGTTGCGTTTTCTTTTGTTTGGGGTGCTGGGTGTTAAAGTCAGAACCTGGCATTTTCTCGGCGAGTGCTAGGTTACTGCTTTTTGTCTCTTTTAGAAATACTGTCACCCAGATCATGAAGATATTTCCCATGTTATCTTCCGGAAACTTTGTACTTTTTACCGCTTTCATTTAGATCTAAATCTTAACTAGAATGCATGTGTGTGTGTGTGAAAAGAGGCAGAGGTCAAGTTGTATCTTTTTACTGTGATAGTCTGTTGATTTAGGATTATTATTTTTGGAAAAGGCTATTGTTTTTCTGTTTTGTGCAGAATCATAAATCAGGCATCCATCTATGTGTGCATCTGTTTCTAGATTTATGAGTGCGTTTAAAACATCGACTTATTTAATATTTATTTATTTTATGCTTGAGATCAGTGCAAATGCATGTGAATTGGAGAGTGATGCTATACTTACTAGATATCTTGGGCTGTTATTCAAGAAGTCAGTATTTATTTATTGTTTATCCTAAGATGTGACCAAATTAGATGGCTGCATTTTTTAAATTGTTGTATTTGCTTTGATACTAAATGTGGTATGTGTTGCAAAAATAATAATTTTTTTGAGACAAGGTCTCACTATGCAGTTCAGGCTGGCCTTGAACTCACTTTGTAGCCCAGGCTGGTTTCGAACTCAATCTCTTGAACTCAGTTTCCTAAGTGCTAGGATTACAGGTGTGCATGACCACCCCTGGCCAAAATAATGGAATTTAAAAACTTGTGATTAGTTGAAACATTGAATGCTCTCTGGATTAGAATGGCCAGAAAGTCAGTAAAGCTGTATTTGTCCTTTTATTTTCCCCTGCCCCCAGCCTGATGAATTGAATATGACATGAAAAACTTTGGCTTTGTATAAATAATGTAATTACTTAGCTGTTTGGGTTTAAAATTCTAAAATGAGATAATTTTTACATAAGGAAATGTAAAAGGAACATGTTTTCTTAACTTAGCTGTTAGTAGTCATGAACAATAGATGAATTTCTGTCCACAGCTAGGTAGTATACAACTTCTGCTTCTATCAGTAAAATGTAAGAAGTATTGTGCTAAAATTAGATGTTTTGTATCACTGATGACATTAAAATATTTTGATATGAATTAATTAAAAACCTTAAGGAAAGATTACAACTAAATTTGAAATTTGTCTGTTTTGCAGCACTAGGGACAGAACCCAGGGGCTTCACACTGAGCTACATCTCCAGCCCTTTTTTATTTTGCTAAGGCACTAAATTGCCCAGACTGGGCTTGACTTGGCTGTCTCTAGCCTCAGCCTCCTAGAGTGCTGGATTACAGGCAGTTGTCTGCCACTATGGTTGACTCCTCTTTTTCTAACAGTTTACTGCCAGGTTTGTATTGAGCTAAGGGAATCTTGGGCATATTGTCAAAATGATAGGATAATAGACTTAAAAATGGACTTTTCCAGCCGAAGTTGAAAAATCTTTTGTACAGCATGTTTTGTTTTGCTTGAGACAGAGTCTTGCTTTGTAATTCAGGTTGGTGTTGAATTCATATATAGCACAGACTGGTTTTGAGCTCATGGAGATCCTTCTGCCTCAGCCTCCCCAGTGCTGGGATCACAGGTGTGTGCCACCATGTCTGGTTCCATAGCCTTTTGGACAAAATGAATAAGGAGCAGCTCACTCTTCATCTGCTTTTTAAATTTTTCCCTGTCTTTGTGGTACTGGGGATGAAACTCAGGGGCTCGTGCCTGTGCTTTACCACTAAACTACCATCAAGGAATCCAGGGCCTCCTGCATGCTAGGCAAGTGCTCTACCACTTAGGTACACTTCAGCTTCCATTATTAATTTATAAGAAAGCAAATGCTTTAAAAAGAAAAACTATGTGAATTCATCCAAAAAATAAAGCAGGAATTTAATATATTGTGACTGGCTTTGAAAAAAAATGGGGGTGTTTTAGTTAGGGTTTATAAGGGAAAGGATTAACAAAGAACACATAATTTATAGAATTATTTTATAAAGTCACCCAAAGGATGAAATGCAAACAAATGTGAGAGATCTGTCCACATACTAGAGAGCCAAAGAATCCAGCTGAGAACCTGGATCCCACTGTTGTGTCCTGAATGAGTCCAGCTAAAGATCTAGACACCATAGCAATGTCCTCCATGAGTCCAGCTGGAG